TTTCAATTAACTATTATGTAGGTAATATGTCTTACATGCGAAAACATTTTAATAATTGCACGCTGTACTTACAGTAATCTTAAAAATTGAATTACATAAAATATTACTTACGTGAATCGAATGCTCTTGATAATCCGTGGACTATGCGATGATTTTCAAATGTTCCAAGAAGTTGACAATGAAGGTAAGGTAATAATTTATTACTAATGAAATTAATAGAAAATGTTTTTTGTCATAAGTCAGCCATTCAAGGTGCTAATTTTAACACTAGGTTTACGGACGTTATCTGTATACCTATTTCTAAGGACACCTGTCAAATTGACAGGTAAAGGAAGTCACATGCCTTTTTTTTAACGATTAGTTTAATTTAAAAACAATTATGTATTATATTAACAGTCTTAATATAAGTTAACTAAATCTGTTACCATCGTATAATTGAAGCAACCCTTCCGTCAAATTGACGCGTTCCGTAAATCTAGTGTTAATGAAAAGGTATTTTTGTTAGATATTTGAGGTAGATAGTAATTGGAATGGCAATAAGTAGTAACACACTATACCATCAATTGACTGGTGAATAAAGAAAGGAACGAAAAGTCAAAGAAAGTGGTATAAAAGAGGATATCGAAAAATTGATTATACATATGTATATCAAAAGGAAGATCGTGAAGTCAAGTGATGAAAGCAAAAGTTTGAAAACGTTCAAAATAACGTTCATGATAGTCAAACTGAATCAACTATGGACGAATACTCTCCAAGCTGTCTAGCATCGATTAAGATAGAATTTGTAAATGTGTATACCTGATTAATGGTAAGATGATTTTTACATTTAACGTCAAATATTAATTTAAATTACAATGTAAGTACAAATTGCGATATATTTCTATAAAGGTGCAATTCCGTAACACTGCGATATTACAAACACCCTCAAAATATTTGGGATAATGGACTATGCAGATTACGATAATAATTCTAAATGTAAAAGTTCAAATGTAGAATATTATTAAATGTAGAAAAATTGTGCAAAAAACGACGCACTGTTGTCCTTAAAAAACTTCTGGGCTTATTGTCGCTATCTCATCAGATTTTTGATTCGCGTATTCAAAACTTACAAATTTTCGGGGTTCCGAGCCGACTTGACCCGACATCAACTTCGAAAATATTTCGGACACTGTGCAAGCTTCTAGGTCCCGTCACGATCCCGACACGATCTATGCACGATTTGCCCCGAGACTCAGGAACTTGTCCCGCTCTGATTTCTATATAGTGGTCTCTGTTGCACTCAAAGTTGGAGAGTGTACTTAGATACGACATGGTACCAATAGGACTGTGAATCAATGTACCTGACTAGCGTCTACAGTTAATAGATACTGCAACAGTCTCATCTGGATATGGCTTATTCAATATAGATCGCAAATAACAAATTATGTTTGCGACATATCTATTCAGAAAAGTTATAATACTTCTCAAAGGGAAAATTACTTTAAGATTCTTATAAAGTCTCATTACAGGATTTACGAATCAAGTAGAGTCTGAACTCGGTATTCTCCTTGACAACAGTACGAATACCGAGATATATGCAACTAAGACGATTGATTTTGGGTTTACAGTCCAAGATCTCGATTACGTATTCACCTCTGCACGGCGAAATTGGCATCGTTTTCCAAAGGTTTCTTTAGAAATTTATCTAAATGAGTTTATCAGAAAATCTAAAAATTTTCAAAAAATGCATGTTTGATAATCAGTGCCAAACTAAAATCTATCTCTCCTCTGTAAAGCTCCTTTCAGATATTTTGTTCTCGTCGTAGGAACATCGATTAGACTTAATCAAAGCTAGGTGTAAGTTAGATCTAATTTATATAGGTATACAAAAGAAGTTCTTTGAGCACACTTTCTGTACATGTATAGTTGGTTCAATCTGGAACGAAATCGCATAGCGCGTTGTGTGCGGTTATTGGATACTCGGCTGTCTCACGTTTTAGTGGCACTTGCAACAGTAAGTCGGTTTATTAGTCATTCAACCGAGTGTCGGTTTACTTCGATATGGATCGACTTTGAGACTACGTTGTCGAGGTAGTCTTGCTACGATGTTCAGTCGAGGATTAATGGTCTAGTATGTAGGGAACACCTCGGTTGGACCTTATCGAGCGGTTTGTATGTTCCTAGCCTTTGAGATGGTGTCACGTGCTTCCTGCTGGAACTGTACTAGCTGATCATTCGACTGATCATCGTCAGTACCATTAGTTCGCGAGTGTGAATCTTGAAGCGAATACGAAGGTAGTAAATGAGATTATCTTGTACTCGCAAGAACGTCGCGTGGATTTATTGGATCGATCGTTGCGGGTATTTATTTCGATTCTTTAATGGCCGCAATCTTTATGTCTTTTATTAACATTACATTTTTTAATCTACTTTTCCTTTCTTTTTAACTATTACCGATTTTGGCAGAAGGTAGTGTTATGTCAGTAAAATGCTCAGATCATTATATCGGTCCTAATATTGCTTTACTAAATGCATTCTAATACACTGTCTGTAGTTCAATTTTCTTTATTTCGTTCCAAGTAAGACATATGTGTATACTATATCGGTCCTAATATTGCTTTACTAAATGCTATCATTCTAATACACTGTCTGTAGTTCAATTTTCTTTATTTCGTTCCAAGTAAGACATATGTGTATTAGATGTAGGAAGTTGCCAGTGGGGTTGCGAATATCGTATTAGGACCTTCAGGAACAGGGTTTCGAATGTGTAGGTAAGTACCTCGATGTACAGAGATCTTTGTATTGCTTTACAGATTTATTTCAAAATTTCTCTGATAAATGTGAATACGTATATGAAAAAAATCCAAATCATTTGCAAAAATATATTTTTATTATATTATGACAAAAAATATGTAGTTAACATAATTGACGATACGTTGATCTAATATTTGAAAATTTAAAGAAATCATTTAGATTAAGGTATATATAATAAATTGCAACTATTCATTCTCCTTTATTCTGTATTTTTATTTGCTATTCTTATTTTCGAATTGCAAACATATATATGTATGCTCATACACGAAATTATTCGAGCGTATATTTTACATTTACTACGTTTAACAGCTGAAATATGTACGTTAAAGTGAAATATTTGAAACGATGTTGTAAATGCGGCAAAAAGAGGATTCTAAGATTATATTAGTAAAATTAGAAAATAGTTCAACGATATATACGATATTTACATTATATTTTTGGACATATGGATAGTGGTGGCGCTAGTGAGTTAATTGAAAAATCGTCTTAAGGCTGTCATAATCAAAGAAAGACGAATCAATGTCATATTGAAATTTCTTATTTTCTAATTACTTCTCACTAATATTACATATTGCGTCTAATCAATAGATTTTCTCCAATTGTTATGATCGCATCCCGCACCAATTTAATATTGCGTGATTAGTATTATATTTTTACGTGAGATCGTGAGTGTAATTTGAAATAGATTATTTATTTGTGACTAGTGTTGTGATTATTTATTTGTAAACAGTATACAGCTAAATGTGTCACGTTAGCGAAGTACCGTTTTGGACACGCATTTTACGATATTTATAAGATGTTTCGGTGATGGGTGACGAATACGTACTTTGTTTTTCGATTTCTGTGATGTCTCGTCATGTTCTGTTCAGTGTCTCCTCTAGTCTGTTTTGATTGATTAAGAGTGGATGTTAGTGGAGGAAAGTTAGAGTTTTTTGATTGGACGAAGATGTGTCGGAAGGATTTTCGGTTGAGGAGTGGGAAACTCTCAAGGAAGTTGCTTTTCGGTAGTCAGTGACGTGATTTATAAGCAGGTGTCCCTTCGGTGACTGAATTGAGAACTTGTTAAATTATAACAGGTTTATGTGTAAGAAAAATATTTGGACTTGATTAAATTGATAAAAGAAATAAAGTAAATCGAAATAGTCGAAATAAAGTAAAAAATAGGCATAATAATAAATATTAAAAATAAAAGCACAATTTAATTTTTTTAAACCGTACGAAAATTAATTTCATCGATATAGCATAGAATTTGTAATTTATATCATTTAGTACGTATTTTTATATAAATTTATCTCGCATTATTAATCAGTTTCATATAATTTCATAATACTTTACTATAATGCAAATAACGTAGTTTGGTTTCAATAACGTTTTCCGTAATTCAAAATTTTTTAAATTTTGTAAAAATTTGACTTTTACAAACAAATTTTATCTGTAATTTTGCAGTTATATTTAGTTTTAATTCCTATCATAAGTAATGCTACAATCTTATTCTATACTGAGTTGATAACGTTGAAATTAACACTTAGATGGTAACGGAATCCCCAGATATGAGGTTTTACGCATTACGTGAGAAATTTGTCCCACAATCCACTTCGTATAGAAATACCTATGACATAAAACTGTACCTCGTCTATGATAGAAATCATATGTTTATTATATATTTTTATATGTTCTTTTGATAATGCATAACGTTACCTTCAGTCGATATGGATATATTTTATTCGTTTTCTAAAATCACTTCGTTCATCATAATAAATTAAATTAAATTATTTCAATTTAATACTTATTAGCATTTCTAAATCATTTATATTTCTCGATTTAAATAAATTAACTTTGGTTCAAATGACAAAGTAAAATGTTACTCTGGATTTATTATGGAACATATTTTTGTAGAACAATTATACTTCAGGAAAGTTTTATCAATTATTTTTAAATTAATCATTTTGAAATTAAATAGTTATAATTTGTATTACATATAATGATGTAAAATTTAATACACCATAAAAAAATGTATAAAATCTATTATCATAATCTTATCCAAATAAGATATTTTCATACAAATACCCTCACAGATATATAACATAGTAATAAGAAATTATTTAACTATATTTATTTAATACACGAGTTACGTGTAATTTATTTTCATTTAATTTTCATCGTTAATTTTATTATAATATACATCGATACATCGATATCGTTGTAGATTACTCTTCCTTAGAATCCTCAATCATTTTCTTCAGTATTTCTAGACCCTCGACATTGGCCTTGCGATAACCTGGTGCCGATGATTTTATTCTGTCCAACCACTTAGCGACATTAGCGTATTTCTCCACATCGAACCCAAAAACCTAGAATGAGTAATTATTATTCAAGTTTTTAAAGAAGCATATGATGTATATCTTTGATCTTTAAATTTTTCTTATGTTCACTTCCATAGTTTCTATATGTGACTTCTAAGATATTGTCTATTGTATTATTTGTAATATATATGTAGAGATCGGATTGGGTGGATTGACTAAAATAACGCTGTTTTACTTCTTGATAGAATAAAATAAGCTTATACGTAGGTTGACGGTTACGAAACAAGAGGGATTCGCTATGGACGCGTTCGACTTTGACTTATTGCCGACATACTCTTATTGTTAGACACTAGCTTAAGAACTCTTGGAGACCGTTAAAGACTGGAGACTGTAGACTGTTCTGAAGACTGCAGACTGGAGCTGCCCGCGCCTTTGCACCCTTATTTAAAGCATTCATTCTGTCCTTTTCCATACCCAGGTTTTCCTTCCCAATCATGCCTCGTTCCCACGCAACCTCCGTGGGCCAGGTACTTCAATCACCCTGGACGCATCCCTAAACTTTCGCTCGACCCTACTAAAAACATTCTTTGCAGTTACTTAGCTTGCACGCGGTCACTTTCATCTTAAGCCCAAACACACTTGGCATTCTTTCAGGGCCGTCCTTATTCCAATCCCACATATATTTCTCTAATATATATCTATATAATACCTCACGAAAGTGTTTGAATGCTATATTTCAAGAGAATTCTCTTACTCAAAGATTCTGATTTTAACGAATGTTTGTATGTACGTAAAACATAGCGAGTCACACATGAAATAATTATTTTGGCGGCCGAAAATGAATTTGAGGGGGTAGAATCAACGATCAAAGTTTTAACAATTTTTTCTCTCCTTAAGCGGAATCTCGCATAGAGAAATTTTTACTATAAGGTGACAGAGCACTAAAAATTAAACATTTTTTTATTTGAGAAAAGCAGAGATTTGACTGTAATTTTGAGTAATGATTTCACCTACGCGAAGTAATATCTGCAGATACAACAAATTGATTCATATATACTTCATTATGCCTTATGTTCACGAATACTTCCATTAAAATCAGAATTTTTCAATTAGAGTACTCTCTCAAAATTTGTATAGCGTTCGAATAATTTCGTGAACTACTCTGTATAGACGGTGTCCAAAGAGGTTGGGATCGAATTGAGGCTACATGTTACTGATAATAGACGAAAACAGTTCATATAAACTTATGTCTGAAAAGGCTTTATTGAAAAGATACATATAAACGTTCAAAGATTGACTGACAAAGTTCGTCTTACAACTTTGCATGTACAGCATTAATTTTCTGTAAATATGTAAGCGGGGATTATAGGCGACAAATTGATAGGTTCTTATAGGATGTCATGCAGACTAACAGTTCAATCTTATTTATAATTTTTGCAAAATAAATCTTCAGGATATATTGCATATCATCTCATTGGAGCATCCTATCAAATATCGTTTCAACATGTTGGTCTGCCACCACATTTTGGACGGAATGTACGTGAATTTCTTAATAGCCAATTCCTTCAACGTTGGATCGGTCGTGGAGGACCAATAAGCTGGCCTCCTAAGTCACCTGATCTAACGCTTCCTGACTTCTATTTATGGCGTCATACAAAAGAGTCGATTTATGAAAATACAAGAGAAACAGATTAACTTTGGGAATTTATTCGAAATGAATTTACCGTTATTTCCAATGCAAATAAAATCATTTGAAAAAGTTCGACAATCGCTAATTCGACGAATGGAAGCCTGCATTCTTGCAGAAGGAGGAATTTCCGAACGTTTCTTATAAGTGTTACAAAAAAATCAAAATATTAGGGTGTCCCATAAGTTTTTTCCACGCCACGCTATGTATGTCCTCGAGCCGGCTATGTTTGTAAACATGCAGGCATATTTATTGTTCGTTTATGGCATCGATTTCTGTCGTCTCACAGCTCTTTCAAAGTACGTTTCGTTGGTGACAAAGTCTCCTTTAAAATCTTTTTCTACGCTGTTCAATATGGATAGCCAAAAGAAGAATTTGCGGCATGTTATGCTTCATTGCTTTAAAAAGAGTAGTAGTGCAAAGGGCACTGCAGACGAGATTTGCACCGTTTATGGGAGTGGTACTACGACTATTAGAATCGTCCGCAATTGGTTTAAGAAATTTAGAGCTGAGCACTGCAGACGAGATTTGCACTGTTTATGGGAGTGGTACTACGACTATTAGAATCGTCCGCAATTGGTTTAAGAAATTTAGAGCTGGCAATTTTGATTTGAAAGATGAAAACCGCAGCGGCCGCCCAGCAACGACGGATACGGACCTCATCAAGAGAATGCTCGCTCAAATGCTCAAGTAAGTATCAACAATTTTGGAAAGAGGGCATAATGAGGCTTCCTGCGAGATGGAAGAAGGTAATAGAGCAAAACCATTCATATATAACACAGTAAATCAACCTTAAACAACAAATATCGCCTATTGATTTCGCATCAAAAAAAAAAAGGAAGAAACTTATGGGACACCCTAATATCTTTAAAGGCTTATATCTTTTTAGTAAAGTAATTCCGGATATAAGTTTATATTAACTTTTTCCATCTATTTGACCTGAATAACACATAGTCTAAATTTGGTCCCAACCTTTTTGAACATTCTGTATATATGTTCCAAATGAATTGCGCGTTTATGTGCGTTGCTAATAATCTTGTACAGCTTCACACAGTATCGATAAATAAAATACTTCTTATTGAAATCTCGAATTCATGTTTCACTCTTCTGGTAACTTCCGTTTACCTCCGACGTTGATACGGTAGCGACCAAAGCTAGGTCAGCGATGGTCAAATTGCGTCCAGCTACATAATCTTGTCCATCCAGAAATTTATCGAGAACATCAAAAGCACCTTCCAGTGGTTTGTAACGGTCTGGATTGTACTCTTTTTCTTTCCCGAATACGACTGGATACTGTAATAAGTTTAAAAGAATTTCAGAAGAATCCTCGAATATTCGAATATTTTCAAGTTACGGTTCTACGAGTGGATTTTACGAAAATGTGTAGAACTCCTTCGCTTCGCGAATTACTGGATGTAAAACTAAAGTTCAATTTCCAGAAATAAAACTATAAATTTCGTTAACTATTTTTCGTGAAATATTTTCCGAAAACTGTTCATGGGAGCGTAACAAGCAACAAGTATCTTAGAGAAATTTCGTTTCATACTTTACATTAAGATTCGATGATTATTTATGTATTGATGTAAGCTTTAATGTATTTATGTCGTAAGATCAAAAGATAGTATTACGATTGTATTCATGGAAGTTTAAAACGTTTATTTTTCCTATTGTTAAAAAATGTTGTTCATCTTATTTTTTATTTTCTTCAAGAGAAATGTAAAATTAAGATACTTACATAGTAATCTTTCATGCCTCTGTAGAGAGTACCAATATCAAAATGTAATCGATGGTTGACCAAGGCTCGACCAATCACTGTTTGTGGATTCAGTCGAGCGTTTTTACCATATTGATCGGCTAAATACGACATAATGGCTCGACTGCAATCGTTTATTACATAAACAATGATAGGAAATAGAAAAAAATACACTTATATATTATTTTATACTATATTTTACAAATGAGAAAATTTCCGCTCCCCGGACCATGGAATTGTAGCATATTTTTTTCCAACTTGTAGATTTTGACGCATAGATTTAAAAAAATCACAATTTTGACGTCATGAACACACACGGAATCAAAAGTTATGCGTTTGCAAATTACCATATTTTACTAACCGATTTAATTATAAACGTAGTGACTTTTTAAGGTTTTTATCAAACTTGGCATTGTCAATTTTAAACAAAAGTTTAAATAAAAAATAAACAAGTACAGATACCAACGATGTTCGATGTCGGCAATAGTCGTCAGCTTGTCTGATTGATAACGTTAACAGAAGTAACAGGATTTCGCAAACGCATAAATTTTCATTCCGTACATTTCTAACGTTAAAATTGTGATTTTTGGAATTTACGTAACAAAATCTTCCCACTTGTGAAAAAATATTTAATAATTTTTTCTCCGGGAAGTGGAAGAGCAGTCTACGAATGTTTAATTGGAACACAGCGCGAGTTCATTAATTACAAACCTCTCTGATAACTTGTATTCGTCATCTACGAGAAATGGAATTGCTTTTTGCGGATTTAGCTGCAACAGAAAGGTGATCATAGAATGCTATCTCGCACGAATCGTTTTTATTAAAATTACATCGTTAAAACCAAACGTAGCTTTATTTTGACCCGCGTTAGACGACAATCGACTAAATAAAATGGACGAAAAGAACGAAATAAAGCTCAATAAATGTAATATCAGGTTTGATTAATTATCGGGTTCTATTAATTACTTTCGATCTGTTGTTCGTTATACCATACACGATGAAATCGACAAGAGCGTTTCGTTGATCGTGCATCACTAATTTATACTGGTCCACGTCTTATTTGACACTAATATCTATTGGTCTAGTTGACGTACTATGTTTTTTACATGTAAGATTTTTCAATACGTCAACCTTGAAAGAAATCGACGAGTCTCACAGTTATCGAGTTTATAGTAATCAGTGTGTTAATATTTTCTATCAATATTTCCTATATTAATAGTAATTTATATTTCTATTTTCTCTGTTATTATGTGTTGATAATATAGAGCATAGTCCAAAATCAGTGGTACAAATAGCGTGAGAGAGATTTTGTGATTCGAAATAAATCGAAAATCAAAAGTGACAAAATTGTATTGGAGGTTTCGTTTTTGAGAAAAATGCATTCAAAAATTAGTCTAATGTGCGTTAACTGATAACTGATGTTACTGGTTTTACGACGTAAGTACGGCCATCGTGAATACTTACGTATGTGTTCAACGTCAGTCACTGTTTATCAGTATTTACCTATACTAAATTGTTAAGGATTGTGAACGATATTAATGATACAAATTGTAATACAGTTTATTTTAATCAAGATATTGTTCGAAATGTCAAAAATTTTTTCATCTAGAAAGTTGTATTCTGTGAATTAAATCGTGTTGAACGTTCTGTATGATATTTTGCATTCGAATTTGTTCGAACATTGAAACAATACATATTAAAAACCCGAATGATAAATCTGACAGTAAACAGTGTGTGCCATAGTATCGTATGCAAAAGCAATTATTGTAGACGTGTGCGAAATCGGTAATGCCAATCATCATGTAGGTGCACATATCCTCGATTGATTTTCGACTAATTTTTCAATGAATTTTTCCCCAAAATCAAGTCCTTGTTGTAATTCTGCAATTTCTTAATTTTTATGAGCTGATTCGAGCCGTATAGGCTCAAGATATAATTATTGTACTATTAATTTTGGATCACCCTATATATTAATATACAATAGTATGGTAATATGCACTAACATTTTCTATATTAATACTAACAACATTTGCATGTTTCTTATTATTTTTAATCTTAATATTTTGCGTCTTGATTACAATTTGCTAACACGTTTAATGGTAGATAATATTAAACTTTGTAAGAAATGGAAGGTACGAGACAGATATCCTTAATCGTGCTGACCTGTTCATATTCCGGCTTCAGGTGTTCCCCAGTAAATAAATTGATTTCTTTGAGGTTTAAGGAGATACCAATAGCTTCTGCAGTCAATAGAACCACACAGACATGATTCGTCAACTAAAATTATATGTTTTAATGTCAATGAATCAGTAACGTTACAATTAGTATATAGATAATATTTATGTCGGTGATTATGAAAGTACTTTAATCGTAAGTCATGTGACGCTTCGAAATATTCAAACTCTCGCGTTTCAAATATTTTTGCCAAAAATTATTCCATGTCATTGTAACGCGAATAAATGTAACACGAAATAAGTGACAAAACTGGTTCTTTTTTTTTAATTTTTTACGTATTAGATCATTTTCATAATTATCAACATATTTTTTATATAACCACAATTCATACTGCCAACTCGTACAACAATGAAAAAATGGCCGTTATTCGTCCATTCATTTCACTTATTTATGAAGAAAAACAGGGGGGCGAACTGTTAATAATAACTATTAACTGATCGAATCTTTGGAAAAAATATACGTACAGCCTGCAATTTATTACTTAAAACTCCTTACATTACAATTACAAATTTTGTCGAGATTTTATGCTAAATCTCATAATAGACTAAATAAACTAAATAGACTAAAATAATATTTGACGTATTTCAATATGCGCAAAATTTATATAAATCCTACAAATTTTTATAGTGTTATGGCAAATAAAATGCGTAAATGATGGTTAATTAAAATGAAATAATTTCACTAGGCACAGTTTCGCATAATTAAATCATAGTGCAAGGGATTAATCCGATTTATACGTTCGTATCGCGCTGTAAGCCACTTTGGAATTCGATATTCACGTGGAGATCCGTGAAATATCATTTCGATGTTACTAATAAAAAAGATATTTTAAAACTTTTGAGACTGCCAGCGAAAAGTATCGAAATATTCCATTACACGTCCCTTTTTTTCAGCTGCATTGGTTTCGTCTGCAACGATTTTCGATGAAATCAATATCGCTGACTAAAGCAATATCCACGCGTACGAAAGTCACGAGACTGTTCTGTATACCTAACTTCGTATTTAATGCGTATCGTGCCACATACTTTTCCCCTTTGTTCAACTATGCCGACAGTTAACACGTGATTCGCCTTGTTTACGTTATAAATGTTCGATCCTCGTCAAAGTCGAACGCGAATCGAAAATCTGTATAGACAGAAACGATGAAAAAAAAAAATAAAAAATAAAATAAAATCGATCAAGACAAAAAAGAATTGAAACGATACGAGAATGAAAATCGAAAGAAACGAAAAAATTCGTTTATTCTTACAGCAAACGCAACGAGTGACACGACGTCTACTCGAAGTTCCAAACTTCGTTTGGAGGTTAGGTTCCAAAGAGGAACGCGCGGGAAAGCGAGCACCCAGTATAAGTTTCATCTCTAGCTCGATCGAAACGTATTTCCACAGTTTTGGTCTCAATCGGGCGTAATCGATAGAGCACTATTTTTCACACGACGAGGTTACACATACGTGGATGAACTGGTCTACAGCTACGTGCGTCCGCCATTAACGAACAATCGATACGATCGAGCGAAATAGTTGAAGCGCGCGTACGAACGATGAAAAGAAGGAAACCTATTCAACGAGGAGTCTGCTGAATGAACGAAACGGAACGGTTTTTACTCGTCAAGAGCTTCTTAATTTAGACGTTATCGTTTCAAGAAATTCTACCAAGCGAACCGTGTTGCCCCTTATAATTATTACGCGAACCGGTGAACGCGATTAGGAACATGCAACGGAATAACTGCCACTTTTCGCAGTAATAAGTATGTGATTAATGTATGGTATTAAACTGGTTACTAACGATTACGATTATTACTCACGTTTACCGTTTTTTTCCTGAGGTTGATAGACGTAATGATTTTTCGTGAATGATAGAAGCGGGATGAATATGCGCTGTTTTGTTCGCACGAGTGAACTGAGCAGAGTTCGTGTGCTGACTCGTTCGATGTACGCAATAATGTATATAGGAACTACCTAGTTACATCGCTAGGTAATGATTTTCGGTGGCTTTTTTATTTCTGTACATGTTACATATCACTATTGCAACGCTATCGGGTTTTCAAATTCGTAAAAACGATTTCGCTTTATTCGTTTTTTACTTTTATCTATATTGAATCCCTAGTTGTATTTTTGGTAAATGTCAGGGCAAATATTCACGTAAATAAAATGCATTTATAATCAATGTATTTTGACAGGATTATCATGATATAATAATATTAAAAATATAAAAATGTAAATGGATAAAAAAGGGTGTATTCCTCAAGCGATGCGTGAAAAACGTCTCACGCGGGCTAAATTAAAAGTAAACTAAAATATAATTATTGTTAATAGAGCTAAAGAATAATTATTTCCAACAGTAATAATAGTTGTAATTGTAACAAAAATAAACGCTCAGAAACAGAAAATATACAGTATGTAGGGTCTATGTATATACATATACTACAAAGTTTATAGTAATTGAAATATAGATATATAATTAATAAATATTTAAAAATATTTTTGATAAATATCACCTCACTGTACAGCCATATTTATTGCAATGTAATAGTTTTTATATAGTAGAATTTTCATGAAGCCATTTTAGCCAAATTTTGAATCATATTTCCAGAGAAACTTACTTATTGATAGTTAAATAATATTGTTCCGAACGTTTTACACATAAACCACCGTTTTTGTTCATAGTCTTGAGGAAAAAAGGATACTCAATGAGAAATGTATGTAGATGGAATGTATTATCCCGATGAAAATAGGGCATACTTCGATTATGCAAGGGAAAAATGATTTACTAGTGTAGTATCGTAGGCTTAAGGACCCAAATGGAAAAGGGCCATAAACGAAGTGAAAGTGAGTGGACAAGAAAATAAATCAGACCTATCGAGAAAACGTTGATCGACGAAAATTCGAGAAAGCAAGGGGCAATTCTCTCAAGAAAGCAGAGTTGTGTCGAGCTTGTTAGGGAGAAGTCGAAAGATGATATGAGGAGAATTGTTTGGAGTTGTATATATATAATATATATGGTTATTATATTAATTTACTATTCATTGCGAGCGAATTGAAAGGCATTGATTGTATTTTGTAAATTATGTTCTACAATTATCAAGTACTAAATAAATTTAAGTTAACAATTATTTTCATACATTAAAATACATATTGATCACTACAACTGAAATTATTAATACAGTCTTCTTGTGATAAATATGGTGATTGTTAATTTTTTTTTAAATAATAAACGTTTGAAACACGTCATTGTTCGGGCTAAGTGAACACACCGATTACTATTTAGAAAGATGGAAATATTATACGAGTAATATTTTCCGATGTGGTGTATTATTTTCTTTAATACTAAGTATCCGTATATAGGCAAGTAGGCAAATTATCGATTAGAACTTTTTCCTATATTATCTGATTGGCCTTATTTCCTTTGCCATTTGGAGTTTCATTATTTTGATTTAGATCAGAAAAGTGATCAGGAAACAATATCGAAGGTGCATACACATTGGATTAATACTTAATATTTTCAATTGCCATTTTATAATATAAATTAATTGTTCATACGTGTATTTTACGCTGGTATTTGTAATAATACTTTTATAATATAAATATATATCATATTTATAACCAGTTATGACTATCATATTTAGGACCAAATCGAAATAAATTTAGAAATTAATATTTATTAAAAACGATAAAAAGCATTTAATCAGTATAAGTACTAAATTCAGATTTTTCGACATTACGTTAAATTTTTACATCATAATCGATTATGTTGGCAATACATTGAATGTAAAGAAAATAATTGTTTGGAAAGTACATTATTATTATTATAGGTCACATTAGAGCATATTATTTACGAAAAGCTACAATTACTATGAAAACTACAAATTACTAAGTACTAGAAAATAATGTTACTAATATAGATAATAAAAATAATTTGGTAGAAATAGTTAAAAACTACATCTGTCATCTTTAACATCTTTTATAAATATGAAATTTAATTTTCGTATTTTTTGCTGATTAGACACTTATAGAGGCATCCCTGGCTAAATCTCAAATTATTTATAATTAAAAATAAATTGTTCTTGGCTAAATGTTTTTAGCTTTATACTTCAGTACTATCCACAATTTTTTTCATCAAAAAATATTAAAAATTACGGAAACTGTTATTTTAATAAACGCTTTTTAAGAGAAGGTATCTGTATAGTGGCCACTATTTCTACTACTATATTTATAAGAAATGAAAAAACAAACAATATATTACTCAGTATTAATGGGGCTATAGCCGAAACTAGAATTGTTCAAAAATATTAAAAATTAAAAATTTTGCAGCACTTCAGATTCGAGTAATTAGATTTTTGTTCATTTCTTCATATTTAGCGACCTGAAAAGAAGTAGTAAAAAGCATTGAATTTTGAAAATCTAAGGTCCAGCGATAAGGATAGCAATAAGGATTCCCTCCGAATTATATGCCAATCGGTCAACTAGAATTTGCGATATCATAGTAATCGTTTGACAAAATATATATAGCATTTACAGTATATTTAGAATTTACAAACTACATTACAATGCAATTTTAAAACCAAGTCCACTAGTTTGTGTAAAACTAACATCATGTTTAGAAATCGTGACGAATATTAGGAAAAGTTTAATGTACATTATTTTAAAGTCGTGGAAGTAATAACATCGTTAATTTTGCGAATCCAGCAATATTTATTAATAGAAATATTTTCCGAGCACGTACTTTCAGAAAATGAAATAAAAAATGAACTGTATTTTTTGAAATTCTAAACAAGTATATTCGTTTATATTGATTACATATTTTTTCTCTCCTACGTTAGTATTATAAGCTTATGCTTTGATTTTAAAACATCCTATACAGGGTGAACGAAATAACTTGATCACCTCGAATATTTTGTTTACGTTTCTTTATAGAAAAAAATGTTAGTGGAAAAAGTTGATTGATTTGGAGATGTAAATATTATGATATGCAAAAATTTTTCCCAACGTCATATATTTATAGATTTTAGGGCTATTAATGTTTTTTTTTTTAAATGCAACGAT